GATCTTTAACTTGTTAGCAGGTCTTTGACTTGTTAGCAGGTCTTTAACTTGTTAGCAGGTCTTTGACTTGTTAGCAGGTCTTTAACTTGTTAGCAGGTCTTTAACTTGTTAGCAGGTCTTTGACTTGTTAGCAGATCTTTAACTTGTTAGCAGGCCTTTAACTTGTTAGCAGGCCTTTAACTTGTTAGCAGGTCTTTGACTTGTTAGCAGATCTTTAACTTGTTAGCAGGCCTTTAACTTGTTAGCAGGTCTTTAACTTGTTAGCAGGTCTTTGACTTGTTAGCAGGTCTTTAACTTGTTAGCAGGTCTTTAACTTGTTAGCAGGTCTTTGACTTGTTTCTCTTTATCACCTAGAAGGTGGCAGCAATGCACCAAGCTGTTTGGCTGAACTGAATTTTATTCTGTGTAGAAGGAAAATTAACATAATCTGAATGTTTTTTTTTTCTTCCTGCTTCCTACAGAACAAGAAACAGGATAAAAACGATACTTCCACCAGTCTGACCAGTCTGACCAGTCCAGTTTCATCATCCGGACCCAGAACCCAGCCGTTGCTTTTCCGGGGCTTTCCATTGTTCCTCAGCGGGTTCTTCAGAGGGTCTCCCTGGTGTTCTGCTCAGCTCATCTCGCCTCGGCGCCTCGGACCTTCATGCGTCTCTTAGCGGCAGACTCCACCCACCACGCCGCCGCCGCCGCCCGGACCATGAGCTGTGAACAGGAGTTTGGAGACGGGGCCATGGGGATCACGCTCACGCTTCGCCTCCTCATGCATGGAAAGGTAAAGGATCCATGAGAGCATAAGAGAGTTAAACAGCCTCCACACCACCAGGGGGACCCAAGAGCCCACATTAGCATGATAATATATTCAAAATAACATTCAAACCAAATGCTATTAGACATGGAAAACTATATACATTTTTGAGGTTGTTTCTCTCTTCTTGTTGATGACTGCTGTCACTGTTAAGGAAATATAAGATGTTAAACATGTTTACTGTAAATTTAGTGTTGAAATAGTTCAAATAATTTGAAATATTTAAATAACGCTGCATCTCAAAATCCAAATTTTTTTTTTGTTTGCTACACTGGTAAGGTTAAAATCATTAATCATAATAATACTGTAAGCTAATCTCAAATAATGCTAATGATAGCAGCTATGTTGCACACAAAGACTAGCTTAGGAATGAAGAAGCACCTGGGAATGAGGGGCCCCAAATAAAAATCTGCCTAGGGCCCCAGAAAGTGTGGGTGCAGCCCTGGATGAGAGCGTAGGTCCCAGGTCGTCCTGAAGGAACCCAATGGCTGCTGGAGTGAAACAAATCCAGGCCGAGCAGAAACTTTTCTAACTGGTTGTTTTTCTTTCCTACACAGGAAGTCGGGAGTATTATTGGAAAGGTGAGTTCCTAATGGCCATTTCCTTCACAGTCAGCAAACTAAACAGTCAGCAAGCTAAACAGCAGCTGCGTTTCCATTAATATTCCGCTAATGTCAAAAAATATCAGAACCACATCATGGAATCTATGTGCCGAATGGAAAACAGGATAACAGGGAACATTCCTTCTTCTGGCTTGTTAAAGCTGCAGATCTGAGCGCCGTTCAGTTTGATTCTGCGGCACGAAGTTGGTGTGAGACACGCGTTAATGGTGTGTCAGGTTTCCAGTCGGGCTGTCGGTCTCTGAGGAAGCTGCTCCCGAACACGCAGAGAACGAGACGTGCAGGCAAAATTATTCCTACACATCACAGGAAATTTTCTGCAGTCTCTCAGGCGATTTCCTGCAGCAGATGTTGGGATTCTCCTCGTTTTCAGGCCTGATCTCCTAAAGCCTGAAGCAGAACCTGGTTCATTACAACCAAACAGAAGCAGAACTCGAGATGCTTCCTCTGCTTGTTTACAACATGGACCTTTTTACTCCTCAGAGCTCATTTTTCTGTCGGGAGTCGGACTCTCAACCTGTCGGCAGGTTGGAGTTTGAGGAAAACTGCTGCAGGGCATCGAGGTGTCAGGAAGAACCGAGAAAACTCAACATGTTCCTCGTTTCACATGGAACTGCTTACATCCTAATCGTTTGTTTTTCATTTTAGATTTTAAAGTGTTAAAAGCGTTAAAATCGCATTTATTTTTGACGTTTGTGTTTTTGGTAAATGGAGATGGGCGGCGGAGCGGCCTCGGATTTCTGCTCTAAACCATCTGAATGGACGCTGAAGTTGTGCTAAAAGCAGTTAGCCTGTCAGGGAAGATATTCAAGCCTAAAACAGCATCTCAGTGCTAAACATGTAGCAGCTAATGCTAATGTTAGCATCCAAGTTTCTAAAGAAGCTACATGAATGATCAAGACTTCCTCAGACAATAAATATATTTGCTGTTGAGTTCATATGTGTATTTACTCAATAATTTAGCAGCAAAAATGATATTTGAAATTAAAATGTTGCTCATTTGATCAATATATGGTTTCCCACTAATTACAGATCCTTCAGTTAACTTGATTAAAAATTCTAATAGATTGTAGTTTTTGTAACAGATCAGGGTTGATTCAGTGATTAAAACTCGAGCCTGGTTGTTTTTCAGTCACGCAGGAACATTTTATCTTCCATACAGAGAATCCATCGCAACAGATGAATTTTATTAAACCTTTATTATCTCTGAGCTCCTCTTTCAACACTCTTCCCTGAAGCCTGTCAGGATATTTATGTCATTTGTTCCTCCTCTCTTTGCAGAAAGGAGAAACCGTGAAGAGAATACGAGAAGAGGTAAGACCTTCATCACGTCCCCTCCTCATCCTCTCCTGCTGCTCCATGACAAGCCTTCATAAGCCGCCTGCACGTGTCGGGCTAATTACCGCCGCCGCGCCCATCCTCACTGTGACAAGTTTCAGGCTTTAGCTTAATCTCCTCAAATCAGCTGGATGCAGCATCAACACAGATTCTGTTGGGTCCCGGAAAGGTCTGGTTGTCAGTTCTGTCAGTGAGCGCGCTCAGACGGGCCACAAAATTCGATCTGTATTGATTCTGCAAATGGAAACAGGAATAATTGAAGGTGTTCAGTATTTAAGAACATAATGTCGACACGCCGAGCTGACAGGAGCTGTGTGTGTGTGTGTGTGTGTGTGTGTGTTGTGTGTGTGTGTGTGTGTGTGTGTGTGTGTGTGTGTGTGTGTGTGTGTGTGTGTGTGTGTGTGTAATTCCCTGTCTGTCTTCTCTCTTTGCAGTAGCTTCCATGTCAGAGACAAATTATGAAAATTTCTTCTTTAAAAGTTTTTAAAGTTATTTTTTCCCACAATGCAATTTTTCTCTTTGTTTTTCTTTACATTCATAAAATCATAAAACAGATTTCAGACATGAGCTCAAAACTTAAATCGTCAAATAAAATCCGATAGAGAGTCAGTCCAATCTGCTCAAAGCGTCTGATGGATCCAGGAACAGTTTGTCATCAGGAAGGACAGGTCAGAGGTCAGAGGTCAGTCCTCTGAAGCTCCTCTGTAGCTCAGCTGAGGTGAAGTTCATCTTTAACCTAAAGTTACATCTGTTCAGCTGAGAGTTAAATTGGAGGAGAAAGTTGTAAATATGCAGACATGCGTTATGTATCTGCAGGTAGAAAAGCCTGTAGATTAATCTCGGTTGTCATGGTAACAGAGCTCAGCGCCATGCGATACCTGCTGTGAATCACAAACCCGACTGGAGGCGACGTTGTTTCCCAGCAGGTCGGCTCAGTGAGAACAGAGGCGGGGCTTAAACTTTGCTTACCTCAGCACTTTGTAATTATTCTCTGCAGTCGCAGCTAAATGCTACATGTAGCCTCCTGGAACGTCCCAGATTTAGTTTATAAGCTCTGAACTCATCTGAGGTCAACAGGTCAGGAAATGTTAAAGCAGGAGGACAAGACAGACGTTAAAGATTCATTACAGACACGACGATGAAACAAGTGGTTATTAGGCTTTAGGGTGAACATCTTTTCTCTTTCTCACTTTAAGGAAACAGGAAGTGGGGCAATATTATGTTCTCCAGTCACATAGGGACATTTTATAGCACAATCAGTAACTATGTTGCCTTCGGTTCTTAAAAATATTTTGTACAATAACAAACATGGCTTAAAAGAAACTTTACTTTGTAATTTAACTCCTTGAAATTGTGCTTCTGTCTCTTTGAGAAGCTCCTGGTCTTTCTGAAGCTCCGCCTTCAGGACGTCATCCCAACAAGGCTCCTCTTTTCTTTTTTTTTTTTTAGAAAACAGATTTCCATCCCATACAATAATTATATTGTTAGCCATTTGAGGTTTTACATGAGGTGAAAGCTTGGAATCCAGGTAGTTTGTCCATATTGCCTTTCTGGTATTTTCTTTAACACAGTCTGAGTTGTAAACAAATTTGAACAAAATTGAACCCAAAAACAAACCCAAATAAACTGGATAAAACTTGGCTCCTCTTTTAAGCCTTTAACATTTTTTCCAGTGTTACTTTGAGAAGTAGCTCCTATAATGAGCTCAGGAGATGTTGCTAATTGCTGCTGGCTAGTCTGAAGGAGCTCAGTGGGTGAAACAGCTGATGAATGCAGAGGGTTAGGATAAGGGTTTTTACGTTGCTGTAAAGCAGAAGTTTGGTTCAATGGAGATTAATGAGTTTGTCATGCAGGAAAACAAAGTGGAAATTTTACAAAATAGAGAAAAGCTAATATTTACTTTTTGTTCATGTGGAACATCAACCATCTGGAACAGGAGTCTGTAACCTCTTCCTGCTAACTTATCAAACTAACCAATGACTGCAGCTGTATTTCCATGAAAGCAACAACATGAGCTGCGGCGCGACGCGACGCGGCGTGTTTACTTCTATAACGCCTCCCTGATCAGCCGCCGCGCTCGCAGCGCCTCAGAAGACGTTTATCTGCCTTCAGGCTGCAGCTGCAGCTGGATGAATACTTAAACACTGGAATCGATAAGTTGAAATGGTTTGCATTCATCTCGGTGAAAGCAGAACTCATCAGTGGCTGACGATGTGCTGCACGCCTGCTGTGAATACCAAGGTTCACGTACCGGAGCAAACGATGTCTCTGAGATGATCCGTCTGCAGCGATGCTCCGGCAGCTCAACAGGCACTGTAAAAACAGCATATTTACATCTAAACCACATAAACAACAGCCTTTCTCTTGCTAATGCCAACAGTCCGAGGCTCTAACTCCAATTCACCGTAAAAACATGAATTAATCATGAATGAAATGTGTAAATGCTGTTTACGCTGCATGTTTCCAGATAGGAAAGGTTGTTTCATGATTAAATAGAAAAAGTGAAACACTCAACGGATATGAGAGCAAATACATCATGAAAGTCGTTTCAAGCCTGAATCAGCTGCTTCTGCTGAGTTCAAATAACGGAAACGACGTTGAATATTTAGTTAGACACTGAAAAAATGTCTGCCTTGCAAACCGAAGGTCCTGGGTTCAAATCCCAGCCTCCCTGCTTGAAGTCTGCATGCAGAGTTTCCCAAAAACAGACAGTTGGGTTCATTTACTCTCAGTAGTCATGTGTTGCTTTCAAACCTTCATCTTATTGGCTGAAAGCAGCTGCAGGTGTGAATCAGCTGTGACTTTCCTCCAGTCCCAGAAACGGCTTCACAAGCTGAATTCAAACATAAAGTTTACCTTTTCAAAACCTGCAAGCTGCTAAAGCATGGGGCCATTTCTTTATGACTTCACATGCTACATTAAGCAACATATGAGAGTCTCTAGTCTTTTCAGAAATTTATGTTTTTCCATGTTTTTCTCCATATCTGGTTTTTGACTTGTTTTTACTGTGGAGCTTCATATTTACTGTTCCTGAACATAAACGGCTCAATAAACAGGATCATCAGAGGGAAAAATGTATGAAAAGGAGAGAAAATGGACAATAATCAAACCAAAGTTTAAATTTGCTGGACAGTAAAGAAAACCTACAAGAAGTTACAAGATATGCTTTAAAAAATGAAATTTAAACTTTATGTAAAAAAAAAAAAGTTGAAAATTTTAAATGTAAAACAAATATCTAAGAACTCAAACATTTCCTGATAAACTCATATCTGATGTTTTCTGCTGTCTCTGACGTCAGCTGTGTCTGGTGCAGTGCATTCTGGGATTGGGAGTTTTCACCAGGATCCTTGTCCTCTGCCTTCAGCTGACTGGACGTTTTATCCGGAGGTGAACGCAGACGACCGTCTTCATGATTTCAGCTCAAATTCTATTTATGTTGCAGCCAGAAGTTATTTTACTACAAAACTATGAACTGATTAAAAAACAAACAAACAGATAAGATAAAACTGGAGCTGGCTCTTTTCAAAAGATGTGTGATGTATTGAGGATTTAAATCTGGGAGCAGCAGATAAAATGAGAGCAGATTGTTTTCCTCGGTTGTTTCGGCCTGACAGGAAGCATGAATATTTAAATAGATATTTTCTCCTCAAGGTCAGAAAACACCTTAAGATACGCTTCATTTCAAAGTTGCTCTTTTTTATCCCTGCAACTTGCAGCCTCCGTCTCTCTGATGTCACGTATCTAAACTAAAAACACAAAATACTATTCATTTTCTCAGCTGCCTCATATGAAAACAGCTCTTCCTCCTGGCCTGCAGGAGCAGATGCTTCGGTAAACATGGGAGGCACGCAAACAGGAGAAGACGATGTCCGTCTTCATCAAGTCAGAGGAAGCATTAATGTTCTTCATCTCCGCTCCACAAACAGATGTCTGCACACATCTGGAGCAGGGAGAAGCCCTGATAGCCAGAGCAGAGCTCAGTAATCCGGCGGGACGACACGGCCGTCCGGCTTCACCGCGCTCCAAATCAAGAGTGATGAAGACAAGCGTCACACACAACCGGCAAAACTGGGAACACTGGGAGGACAGAGAACCATCAGGTTCCAGTGGATCAAAAACAGGAACAAAAAAATCCTCATCAGGTGAACTGTGCACCTTCCATCCCTGCTTGAAGAAACCGGCTCAGAAAACCTCACTGGATGAGTTACAAAGGTCATCAATAGGGTCGTTAAGGTCAGTTGGTCCACTAAGGTCACCAATAGGGTCGTTGAGGTCAATTGGTCCACTAAGGTCACCAATAGGGTCGTTGAGGTCAATTGGTCCACTAAGGTCACCAATAGGGTCGTTGAGGTCAATTGGTCCACTAAGTCACCAATAGGGTCGTTGAGGTCAATTGGTCCACTAAGGTCACCAATAGGGTTGTTGAGGTCAATTGGTCCACTAAGGTCATCAATAGGGTTGTTAAAGTCAATTGGTCCACTAAGGTCATCAATAGGGTTGTTGAGGTCAATTGGTCCACTAAGGTCATCAATAGGGTTGTTAAAGTCAATTGGTCCACTAAGGTCATCAATAGGGTTGTTGAGGTCAATTGGTCCACTAAGGTCATCAATAGGGTCGTTAAAGTCAATTGGTCCACTAAGGTCATCAATAGGGTTGTTGAGGTCAATTGGTCCACTAAGGTCATCAATAGGGTTGTTAAGGTCAATTGGTCCACTAAGGTCACCAATAGGGTTG